TGTTCACATATGATCATTATGACCTGCTGTAGCAGGTTACCTCCGGCTATAGTAGGTCATAATGGTTATATGTGAACACTTTCAACAAGTTCGTTACCTAGATGTGTACAAAAGAAAAATAATTACTCAAATATGAACAAAACCAAAAGTAAGAGTAAATTACACGAATGATCCGTGTGGTTTGGGGGAATTTATTTGTTTGGTCCCTAACTTATTTTTTTAATTCGGATGGTCGCTACTGTTTTGTTTTGTTGCGTTTGGTCCATGTCTTAACTAAAAAGACTAGTGTGTCCTTATTAATTTAATTTTTTTAAATTAATTTTCTTATTTATGTATTTATTTATATGTTTAAAAAAACTAATAGACCTCACATATCTGTATCTCCTCACCATCCTATCTTTCATCATCCTAAACTTTTATTTCTTTTCCATATTTAATGACAACGAAGTCTTCACCATCTAAACCACTTGGGTTGTGGTGACTTGGTAAGGCATGTGGAAGATATGGTGGATAACCTATTGACCCATGTTCAAATCCTGGCACCACTCAGCCCTTGTGGCCATGGAGGTTCGCCTGCAGTGACTCCAGGGCATGAAGCAAAGCTTTATGTTTGCAGCGGGGGATTAGTCGGTGCGCGAAAGCTGGCCCGGAAACCCTCGTTAGGGAAGATCCCTTTCCAAAAAAAAAAAAGTCTTCACCATCTATTCTTTTTCGGTCCTTCAACTTCAGCGAACCAACACCACAACCCAATAAAGTGAAGAGACCGTGGGTTATGGTGTTTGTTCGCTAGAGTTGAAGGACCAAAAAAAAGGATGGTGAAGACTTCCATGTCATTAAAGATTGAAAGAAAATAGAAGTTGAAGAGGATGTGAGATGGGATGGTGACTGGTGGGACCCAAATTAAATTTCTCAAATGTGGTTTCAGATTTACAGTGAGGAGATACAGATATGTGGGGTCTATTAATTTTTTTTAAACATATAAAAAAACATAAATAAGAAAATTAATTAAAAAAAATAAATTAATAAGGGCATAATAGTCTTTTTAGGTAAGACAGGGACTAAGCGTGCAACAAAAATAAACAGTAGAGACCATCCGAGTTAAAAATAATAAGTTAGGAACCAAATGCACAAATTCCCCTATACCATAGGGACCATTCATGTAATTTACTCTTACTTTTGATTTTGTTCATATTTATGTAACTATTTTTTTTGTACAAATCTAGGTAACGAACTTGATGAAAATGTTCAAATATAACCATTATGACCTGCTGTCTAAGAAGTACGGAAACTCCATTTTGGGTGACGTTCCCGTATCTGAAACGGGCAGGAAACGGATACGTCATGGAAACGTTTCCGTGATGTATCGGGTATCCAAGAAACGTTTCTGTGAAGTTTCTGCAAAGTTTCCATTTTTTTACACAGTTGTTTGCTCTAATTAAATCCAAAATTCGAAACGTTTATTGGACGGATACATATGAAATCAATTTAATGATCATTACAGAGATTAAGGGATAAAACGAAAAAAAAGAAGAGTATGAATTAGTTCAGGAAAAAGCCTTAGTTACACAGTCTCTTGAAGAACGCCTTCGTATATATAAGTTGTCCAAATACCGGCGACCCAAAATACGAGCTCCGAAACATGGCGGAGACCGACGCCGTGTGACTCCATTTGATTCTCCAGAATGAGAGATCGGACGAAATGCTTCCGAATGGTGCGGCAGTAGAAACTAGAAAGAGTCTTCGATTAGCGTATATATATTCTAGAATCCACGTTAACTTTTGTACGTGGAGCCTTTTGATTGGAGAAGTGACTAAATGCTATCATCCTATTGGTTAATGGATACAAGACAATATAAATTGTTTAAATAATTTGCAGTAACACCCTTGTGGTTTTACAGATTTCATAAATATAATCCTTCAACTTTAAATGTTTAGTTATCAGTCTATTATTAAGAATTTTCAATTTTGTAACGATGATTTTTTTATAATATATGTTTTTTTATATATTTTTATATTGTCGTATCTCTGCCGTATCCGTATCTAGAATTTTTGAGTTTTGCCGTTTCCCGTTTCCGTTCCGTATCCGTTTCCCATTGTCGTATCCGTTTCCATGCAACTTAGCCTGCTGTAGCTGGATGTAACCTGCTACAGCAGATCATAATGGTCATATGTGAACAGTTCCAAAAAATTTGTTACCTAGAAGTGTACAAAAAAAAAAGATAGTTACCTATATGTAAAAAACCCAAAAAGTTAATTACCTTAACAAGTCTTATTCCCTAAGGTAATGTGTTTAATACTTAAGATTGTCTAATTTTTCTCTGACTTGTTCTATGAGTTATAACAGATAAAGCGTGTTTATTAATACATTAAATAATGATTTAAAGTATATTTTTTATGCTTAAAATATTTTTTGGTGTCTTGTGACTGTTTATGTGTTTTTCCTTCTTTATTTTTTCTTTTGCTTTTTTATGATGTTCTCTTACCAATTATTTATATATCTTTTCACCTACATCTCTCTCATGTTCTTTATGAATTATTACAAGTATATATTTATTTACTTTGTCTTATATATAAAATAATTTGGAAGAGTAAAATAGTACCTGATTTGTTGCAATACAAATTATTCTGAAGGGTAACATATGTATTATACTTTGACAAAGAGAACAAATTCCAGTTAATAAGGTTCTAACTCTAGATGTTTGATAAACAATAAAATTAATATTTTTCAAAAACGTATTTGTTAATTTGTTGCAAACCAACTATAGTGTTTATGTATTGTAGAGAAGAAACACTTGATTTTGCTAGAAATGACTTGGAGCAATCTTGTGGACTATTCTAAAATATCTTTGGTAACACTATTTTTTTTTAAAAAAGGCAAATTAATATACTCATAGACTACATCTAATTACATCTATGTTTCAGATAAGTCTTCCTCGTCCTTAAAAAAGACAACACCACATTATACCGGTGGGTTAGAAACCCTTTATTACTGATGCCAATTAATTACAAATTACGAAGGATTTGATGTGCATTCTCAACTTGATTACTGTAATGTTTAAACTTTAGAATTAAAATGCACTAAAATTATCAAAGATTAGAGACACTTGGTTCTTAAAACAATATAAGATACCAAACTTATTTAGACTGTTGTTGGTTCTTAAAACAATCTTAGATACCAAACTTACTTAGATTGTTGTTTTTCACCTGCTATAATCTCTTAGCACCTTGGAAATAGATTTTGATATGCATTTTATTAACATAAATTTGATATATTAGTTTTTCTCTTTGTTTCGAACAAATCAAATGTTTTTTTTTTTTTTTTTTTTTTTTTTAATACTGAAATTCATTAAGAACAATATAAACAACAAAAGAACATGAGAATTATAAGTCAAAACAAAATTATGGCTCAAATGGAAACAAAAATTAATTCTCAAAAGAATATAATGAAATTATTATGAATCAAATCATTTCCAAGATTGAAAACTATATAATGGAGAAAACATGAAAGTTGAAATTAGCTTCCAACAAAATTGTCATATGTGAAGTTCATGTATTATTATTATTATTTTTGGCTAAAACCATAGGATTAGCGGTAAACTTACTAAAAGGGAAAAAAAGAAAAAGAAAAATGTAAGGTTTATTTGAGGAAAAAAATAACTTGAAATTTAATTCGAAAAAACTCAATATAATGTCTTTTATTGTACTAACCATTTCGATTATTAAAAGGGCAAAATGTTATCTACCAACATTAAGAAAAACCCTTATATTTTTGTTTACATGCAAAAAAACCATTACATTTTCAGTTACTTTTAATTTTACCTAAATATTTGTTTTTTAAAAAGTTATTGGTCGTTTTGTGGCATGATATTTATCTTATTCGTTTTTAGATTGACATAGAAAAAAAATAAACAATGTCATTTATTTTTGCTTGAGTATATGACGGTTAAGTAAATGATATAGTTCTTATGTTTCATATTAAACAAGAGGAACATATTTATTTTTGTTTCCACATTAATCTAAAAACAAAAAATTATAAATGTGATGTCACAAAACAATCGGTAATTTCTTTAAAAAATCGGATATTCAGATTAATGTGAAAAGTAACTGAAAATGTAAAGGTTTTATGCATATAAACAAAATTTAAGAGTTTTTTGAATGCTGGTAGATAAATAATTATGTTTTTATTTATTTTGCCCTTATTATAAAAAGATCATATAGTTTAACATAGCGGCGGGTGTCCACTGTCCTTAACCAACTATAACCAATCTATATCCTTATCATGGTTTAGTCCCCAAAAAAACCTTAATTGATAAAACAGCCAGGCCCTCGTAAACAAAAAAACCTTAATTGATAAAATCAGTCAGACTCTCGTAAACAGTTATAAACATGATCATTTTTATCATATTTATTTTTCAATAAATTTTATTAATTAGTATGAGAATCGAGAACACAAACGTGAAATTTGATAATCAAGGTTACAAAATATGGACGCCGGAAACAAATTTTTTTGTCGAATATACACGATTGAAAGCATTTTATGTTTTGTGTTGAACCAAAGAATCTCACCCCTATTTAAACACATCCTAAAAGGATAAATGGTCATAAATGTGCCAAATAAGGTAAAGGGAGTCCATCCTTCTTACCCATCCAACTTATTTACCACATAGACTTTACATTAAATTTGTATCTCTTCTTTCATTTCTATTCTCTTCGTAAAGACGTAAACCCACAATACTATTTAGCAGGCTACTAAAGCCGCTCACTGCCGCCATTCTGAACCAACAATCAGTTTTTTTTTTTTTTTTTTTTTTTTGACAGGGTAAAAAATTTCGAATCGAGCCTTTATAGTCGGTTCCGAATATGGATATTGGAAATTACCCGGCTTTTGGGCTTTTTTGTACAAGTATTGGGCCAAACCCCGGCCCTAATAGGTTAACCGGGTATAACATAAAATAGAGGGACTCAGTATTTAGGAAAATATAAAACAGAGGGACTCAGTATAGAAATATTCTATAGTTTAGAGTCTATACCGAAACTTTCTCGTTTCTACAAAATTTAAGATCGCCGTCGAAAAATCCCTCTATCTCCCTTTAGCCCTCTGTTTGGCCGGAAAGATGTCGTCTAAAACCCTAATTCGCACTGGAGTTTCGGTGTTTAGCCGTATTATGAATCCGGTTGTTCATCCCGACCCGGCTCATAAGTTGTTCGTTCCCCAGATCTTTGAAATCGCACAGAAGCTTTCCACCCCACAGCCATTTCCATCTCTTCTGAAGCTACCGAACCCGCTGAATTTGATCCAAAACGATGCAGAAACCCTAAAAAGAGTTTCTGCAGAAGGGTTCTTGTATCCCTGCGGACTTCCTTCTCTCCGATTCTTCCTCCCTGACGGTAATTACCTGTTTCCCGATTTGAAATCGTGCAATATATGTTCTATAGAGTGTAGAAGCTAGATAAAATTAGAGAATGTCTGAATTCTGATACTGCGATTTGAACATATGTAAAAACTTACTCTTACCTATCGAATTGTTACTTTGTTGTCTTCCGGACATTGATGAAGCTTAATTTACAGTTTTCATTATGTACACAATATAAAGTAGGTCATCGGTGAAGAACAGGGTCATGTGTGACTACGAAATTTGATGAAAAATGAAATTTTCAACATGGAATTTAATGGAAACTTGATAAGGCAGAGCTTAAACCATGTTTTGATTCTTGTGAAGAGGGTTAGACTTAGAGTTAGGGTCTCATATTGTTTTTCTATTTGTTCAGGAGATGATTCATCATCAAGTGAACCTTTGTTGTGCATCAAGAGAACTTATCAACCTAGCAACCTCAGGAGGAAAAGGGTTCATGGTTACCTGGCTAGGTAGATAAGAATTTAGCTTTCATGATCTTGTAATTACAATCTGCATGTTGGCTTCTAATAGCAATTTGGTGTTGAAATTTATGCAGGAAAGCAACAAAAGGAGGTAGACGAGTGATTGCTAGGAGGATTGCAAAGGGTCGATCTAGAATCACAGCTTAAAAGAGGTCATGCTAAGTCTTTGAATCATCTGTAATGGCTGTCAATGTCTGCAAGTGATTTTGATGCATTTGCAACTAATTATTAGGGCTTTTGTGAGAGAGATAGAAAACACCATGTTGATTTTTGCAGAAGTTTGTGTTCTTTCTTTTTGGTAATTTCAGCAATAACCAAATTTGTCCCTTATGTAAACGGATTAAAATTTCGGATCATAATTCCGGGTGCAAATGGCTGCCATGATTGAGGCATAGTTGGCATGAAGATTGCTTAGTCAGAATAAATGTTTTTCATGTAAAGGAGATGAAAAAAATATGGGCAAAATACTCATTTATGAATATAACAGCTACGCAGAAAGAGCAGAAAATGAAACTGTTACCACATTCAGTATTCACAAAAAAAAAAAAGATTAATAACTGGAATGTATTTTGTTATGTAGTCAGTTCTTTTTACATGGAATACCTATTCTTCATAGTTTTTGTTCATGCCAAACAATGTAATTTAATTTAGAGTTTGATCATTAACAAATGAAGGTATTTTGTAAAAGGGATAATGGCTTAAAAGGGTAACTTATTTCTTGATTTGTACAAATTTAGTCACTGAGTTTTTTTTTGTCCGTATTTTCCCATTGAACTTGTTGAACCGTTCAAAAAGTATCCTTATAACCTGCTATCGGAGGTATAGCCGGTTTCCGGCGTGTTTGACAACTCCGACAATGCTCCATTCATCTTCTCTGATGAAACATTATTTTCCTGGCGACAAGTGAAATTTTTTTTTCCTTCCTGAAATCACACATGTAAATCTGGATTCGTGTTTATCTAATACATATACATCTAATACATTTACAGATTTGTAAAACAAGTTCACTCGTAGCAGAGCTAGCAAAACATGAAATCGTTGTAATGATTTTCAATTTTTGAAATAAGGGTTGCAATTTCTGATCACAAACACACACACACACACACACACACACTCAAATCTAAAGAAGCTCTTAAGAACACGATGAACAAACCCTGATGAACCAGACAGATTTGAAGAACAAACCTTGATGAACTAGACAAAGATTTGAAGAACATGATGAACAAAACCATCAAGAAAGCCTAGATTTCGAGTTTATTTCAGAAGAACCCACCTGAAAGTCTAATTCTTTCCAGATTATGCTCACAAATCAAACCTTCGGGTAAGTTATTTGTTAGAAATTGATTTTAAAAAAGCCCACCTAAAACCCTTAGATTTCGAGTTCACTTTTAGAGGTTGAAATCGATTCAGTGCTTTTAAATTCGAGCATAGATGAAGATGAATACACATACATATGATGAACACATATGCACATACCTTCGATCTGTTTGAACACGAACTCGAGGGTTTTCATGACGGTTTTGAACACATATCTTGAAATTTCGTCAGACCTTCAAGCTCGATTTTGAGAAAACCTCAGACCTTCATCTTCAAGGAACCCAAAACACACCAAATCAATTTCTTCTTTCTTCTTGGAAATCGATTTCTGGGTTTGAAAACCCTAACTCGACTTAGGGTTGTTCTTAAGCTCGATTTTTGGTCTTTGTATTTTTGGAAAACATACACATAACAATAGGTTGTTTTATGTTTGTGTTGAAGACTGTGTGTATGTGTGTGTTCATCTGATCTGTGGTTCTTGAGTTTGAAGAAACAACTGATCTGGGGTTCTTGTGTTAATCTGATCTAGGGTTTTTGTGTTTATCTGATATTTGAAGAAATAACTTACAAAAAAAAAATGCAGATGAAGAATGACTTAAAGGGAGAAAATGGGCTTTCACTTGTAGCTAGAAAATAATGTTTCGCTGGAAAAGATGAACGGAGCATCGCCAGTCGCCAGAGTTATCAAATATGTTGAAAACCGGCTATACCTCCGATAACAGGTCATAAGGATGCTTTTTGAACGGTTCAACAAGTTCAATGAGAAAATATGGATAAAAAAACTCAGTAACTAAATTTGTATAAATCGAAACATAAATTGCCCTTTTAAGTCATTATCCCTTTATAAAAGCTACTACAAAAGTAAATTGTCTAAGATGATAATTGACCTACGCCTCAAGTTAGTTGGCATCATGTGTATTTCACCCTAGCAATTGATAGTTGATAGTAGTATGTTTGTGAATTGATAATCATGTGTATTTCATCTTAGTAGTTTGATACTTGAAAGAAGCATGTTTATGAATTGATAGCAATACAAGTCTCATCGTATTGCGCACGAATTCTTGATCTTCTAGAGAAAAAACATGGAGATTTTTCTTAGTAAATATTTTAATATTTCATGGTATTAAAATGTTTTAGTTTGTAAACAAATTTCTTAGATGATAAATAGTTTTCTGAACTATTTCAATATATGTTGACATATTGTTACATGTTACAGATTATTTTTATATTGTAGTTTCTTTGAGGATATGCCTTCCTTTTATTAAAGATTGCTTGTAATATTAACATTTTTTAATTTATCAATTTACGTTTTTTATTTTCTATCTACACATAAGAAACAACATTTTTGAAGACGCGTTTAATTTCTTCGAGCCAAAAATCAAAATGATGAATTTTATTACACTTTATTTCATTACATTGTTTAATCTACTATTTTATGATTTAATTCTATCGCCAAATAGAAATATCATCCTATTGTTTGATCCACGCTCACTTTTTGTCCATTTTTTAAGGGAGAATTTCATATATGTCATTCTTAAACTTCAAAATATTATATTTGCCCAACTTAATTTCTCAATATCATATTTACCCTTCAAAATATCATATTTGTTATAAAATATGATCAAATAACAAGATAAATTATAGAGTAAAGAAAGACATGAGAGTAGAGAGAATTTTTATTCCAATACTTGTGAAGAAATTATCAAGTTTCTAATACATATGGATCACTATTTATACTATCCAAATAAGAAGAAAGATGAGCTATAATATGAATGCACATTATGATGGCGTATTATTACATTCATAAAACACATTGAAATGGTTGTTACTAATGCTAAATAATGATGGAGAGTTATGGGAGAAATGGAGAATCCAATGGTCATTCACAAACTAATATTTCATAACACTCCCCCTTGAATGACGATTGTATCATGCCTCGTTAAAACCTTAATAGGTAAAACCTCATGGGAAAAACCATTTGTTAAGAAAAAAGAGTACATGATTAATAATAGATATTTGGAACAATTGCCTCGTTAAAAACCTTGCTAAGAAAACCCAGTGGGAAAAACATAGCTAAGGAAAAGAGTACAATGTGTTTCCAACTCCCCCTGATCATCACATCACTTGATTTCCTTAAAGCGTCGCATTCCAATATTTTGTACCATGTTTTCAAATTTGGATGTAGGGAGCGCTTTAGTGAACAAATCTGCCAAGTTGTTACTTGATTGAGTTTTCTGGATGTTGATGCCACACTCTTTTTGAAGATCATGAGTAAAAAAAAACTTTGGTGATATATATTTGGTTCTGTCTCCTTTGATAAACCCTTCCTTGAATTGGGCTATACAAGCCGCATTATCTTCATATAGTATGGTTGGAATGTCCCTGTTATAAGTTAGACCACAACTCTCACGAATGTGATGAGTTAAATTTCTTAACCAAATACATTCACGGCTTGCCTCGTGAATTGCTATAATCTCTGCATGGTTAGAAGAAGAAGCAACTAAAGTTTATTTAACAGAACGCCGAGAAATTGTGGTACCTCCACAAGTGAATAAATAACCTGTTTGGGATCGAGCTTTGTGTGGATCATAAAAATATCCAGCATCTGCATAACCAATTAACTCCGCATTTGATGAATTTGAATAAGATAAGCCCATATCCATTGTACCTCGAAGATATCGAAGAATGTGTTTGACTCCATTCCAATGTCTTCTTGTTGGGCAAGAACTATATCTTGCTAATAAGTTTACAGCAAAAGATATATCAGATCTCGTATTATTAGCAAAATACATTAGTGCACCAATAGCACTAAGATATGGTACTTCGGGACCAAGAAGTTTTTCATGTTTTTCACAAGGCCGAAACTGGTCCTTTTTGACATCTAAATGCCTTACTACCATCGGGGTACTCAATAGATGTGAGTTATCCATATAAAATAAAACCTTTTAAGCACTTTTTCTAGATAACTAGATTGATATACAAAAACTCCATTTTTGGTGTGCTCAATTTGAAGACCCAAACAAAATTTCATTTTACCAATATCTTTCATTTCAAAATTTTCTTTCAAACAAGAAGTGGCATTTTCCAATTCTCCAGGAGTTCTAATTATGTTCAAATCATCTACGTAAACAACAATTATCACAAATTCTGATCCGGATCTTTTTATAAATACACATGGGCTTAATGGATCATTTTTATAGCCCTCTTTTAAAAGAAATGTACTTAAACAATTGAACCACATATGGGCAGATTGTTTCAATCCATACAAAGATTTATTTAATTTTACCAAATATACTTCACGAGAATTAGAAGTTTGTGCTTCTGGCACCTTAAACCTTTATGGGATTTTCATATAAATATCATTCTCAAGTGAACCATATAAATAGGCGGTAACTACATCCATCAGACGCATCTCCAATTTTTCATGTGTTGCCAGACTTACTAGATAACGGAATGTAGTTGCATCAACCACAGGAGAGTATGTTTCTTCATAATCAATTTCGGGTCTTTGGGTAAAACCTTGTGCAACAAGTATTGCTTTATATCTCACAACTTCATTTTTCTCGTTTCTTTTGCGCACAAATACCCATTCGTGTCCCACTGTTCTTACTCTGTTTGGTGTACGGACTACAGGTCCAAAAACTTTTCGTTGAGTAATAGAATTAAGCTCTTTATTTATTTCATCTTTCCATTTTGGCCAATATTTTCTATTCATACATTACTCAATAGATTTAGGTTCAAGATCCTCATTTTCTTTATAATCGCGCACGGAACATGATATGAAAAATTATCATCAACATCTATCTTATTTCGGTTCCATCTTATTCTTTTCATGACATAATTTATTGAGATCTCGTCATTTTCATTTTTTTCAGGTACCTTATTTTCTTTTGTTATGTTATTGGGCTCTTCTAGAGCCTCATTAATCTTTTCTAGAGATTTTGTTTTCTCTTTTGGACCATCAATTGTATTTGCTTCATTTCATTTTCGAGGATTTTTATCTTTGGAACCGGTTGATCTTCCACGCTTCAGGCGTGCCTAAGATTCATTTGCAGTTGTATTTTTTTTCTTCCTTCTGGGAAATCAATTCTAACTTGAGTAAGTATAGCTGGTACATGAGACTTTGTTACCCACTTAGGGTCAGTAAATGCTTCTGGCAATTGATTTGCTACATTTAGTAAATGAATTATCTTTGTTATTTCATGTTCACATTGACTTGAACGAGGATCTAAAACTGAAAGTGACAATTCCTTTCAAGAGATTTTATTTTCCAGCTTCTTTATTTCTCCCCCTAATGTTGGAAAATATGATTCATCAAAATAATAATCATCAAATATAGCTGTAAATAAATCTCCAATTGATGATTTTAAATATTTTACTATAGATGGAGATTCGTATCCAACATAAATTCTCATTCTTCTTTGAGGACCCATTTTTGTGCGGTGAGGT